ATTTACCAATATTATTCTTGTATCAGAGACTGTACTTGGTTATACACTCTATGAGTTAAATGATGAACTCTTTCCATTTCAGGAATACTAGTGCTTTATCTGTAATTTTATGGGACACAGCATAAAATTCATTTTTGAAATCTTAAACATATTTAGGATTTAAACACAAACATCAGATCTCAAGAACTACAAGAGCCTATAGGAACCAGTCAGGTAAAAGAAAATCTGAAGTGAATCTGAGTGTACCTGTCAATATGAATTCAGGACAACTTCAAACTTTTGACATCAGAAGAATGTTGCTACTCAGGAATATATGCCCAATGTTGCTGTGTTACGATTTTTCTAGAGAAATCTGGAATTTTTATGAAAAGATTTTCATTTTTGTTTGTTGGGCACTAATGAAAAAGAGTTTTTTCATTAAATAAAAAATACTCCAGTCAACAGTATCTGATACTTAGTTTGATAGCCAAAATGCCTTTTCAGGCTAACGGAACAAGAAATGAGATGATGTTGAGTAGAGGGAGGGGAGACATAAGAGAACACTCAAGGGAACAAATGGCCACAGACAGGAAAAGAGCATGACTAACACAGGCTTAGCTAAAGAACCTAACAACGGGAAACATGGACACTGGGCAGTCAGAAGCTGTACCTGAATCCTTCCCAGTCAAGGCCCCGGAGGACTCCTAAGCACCCTGATAAGGAAGAGGCTATTTGTAAAAATATTAATAATATCTTGAAAAGCCCATACTACTTGTTTGGGGAATTTCTACTCCTTCACCCAAGCATTCACTTTTTCTTTTTTTTTTTTGAGAGGTTTTTGCTATAGGGCGCGTGTGCTCACCAGACAGACAGACAGAGACAGCGATAGAAAGGGAGAAATCACCTCCCAGGGGGTATGGCCACGCTGCAAATCCCTTCTCCTCCATTCTCCTCTAGGGATCTTGGGCACGCACGCACATGCGCCCGGCGTGAGTTTAAGCCACCAGGTCCAGGACGTGAACCATGGTCGACCACGTGGGAGTCCAACGACAGAGCCATTACGTTAACTGCTGGTCCCCCAAGCATTAACTTGACAACAATGATTAACTATGAAAAAGAAAGGAGCCAAAGAAATGCATAGCTAGTCAGGCTTCTTTGGAGACAGGGTTTTGGTGAGAATCAATATCCCTCAAAGGTAGAATCCACTGTCATTTGACCAGAAGAGTCATGAAGACTTTAGAATAATACGGAATTCCAAGGGAGTTAGGAAGGTGGCTGACTGAGCTTTCTTAGTTTAATGGGGAAGAATGAGTGATCCAGCAGATGTAGGGATAAACTATGAAGGAGGCTTAAGTTTTTGAGGCTAGCAAACACTTAAGAACTTAGCAGTTGCTGCAGTTACTCAAATGGATCATATTTCTTTGTTTTTGCCTACTGTATTATAATGGGTTTGGGTTTATTTTGGGTTTGTCCCCCAAAAAGTACACAACTTTTTAAAGGAAGTTTCTTAGATAATACCACTTCTTTGATAATTTCATGATAAGGATTAAATTAGATATTGTATTTAAAGTACTCAGCACAAAAATTAGGAAGTTAATAACACCAAATGAGGACATGAAGCTATAGGGTTACGTAATATGGATGTGCTGCCATTCTGGAGAGCAATCTGGTTTGGTGTTCACAGATTCAATATATGCTTATCCAGACATTCAGAATTCTGTTCCTGGTTGTATATACGAATGATAGTCTTACACAGATCCCACAAGGCACGTACAAAGATATAACAGTGTTTGATGTGGCAGAAATCAGGAGATAAACTGCCCATTGATTGCTGGGAGAGTAGATAAGAAAATGTAGAAAGTCCATACCCTGAACATTAAAAGCAAATAGAAACCACAGATTACTGTATGTGTATGTGTAGGACTATGAAGGTATCTTAAAGTTCCAGGTCTTAGCAAAAAGGATAAGAAATAGATAAGATATATAATTCACTAGCATTTACGTTAATTAGAAATACGGACACAAGAAGCAATAGTATATACTTTGTACGAATATGCACAAAGAAATCAAAAATTAACAATAACGGAGTATAACTATTGTTCTGTGGGGGACTGTAAGCAGGATAAAAGAGAAGAAAATAAATAATCAAAATGAGAGAGGAGATTGATGATCACAAGTCATAAATTGAGTAGTATTACAGACTCAAACCTCTGCACATGACTCACAGAACAACAGAAGGAAAACAGTAACATTTTCAGCCTAATACCTGTTATTTAGTATAATCAGTTCCATAATTAAAACAAAAAGAACAAAAGGGAGTCTGAATAAAGAGATGGAAATGATAAAACAATTACATTTACAAATAAACTTCACAATCAGAAATTTGTGAAACCAGCTAGCAAGTACTTACTGATTTTTTCATGTGATCACAGCACAGTCCAAAGTGGTACTGGAAATGAAACAGAAGCACTGATATACTTTGTTTTTCCCATTTATTTATTTAATTTTACATTTTTCCACAAACATTTACTTTACATATCAAAAAATTTTTGCTCATACTCCATAGTTCTTGACAATTAATAAACAACTTTCAAAATTTCAAAATACTGAATTACAAAGATAATGTTCAAAATATTTCTTATAATTTTGTTTGTGAGTCTATAACAACAGAAACAGTATGGTTTTAAATATTTTTGAGAGAATATTTACATGTTGAATTGTTGAAAAGCAAATGTTGAAAAGCAAATGCCCAGCATACTAGTCACACATAAACCTCAATTTAGCCCTGCATACCAAGTATTCTGTAATATACCGTCTGCTAGCAAAGATCAGTCTCTTTCTTCCTTCAAAGTCTTTCTCAAGATAATCCTCTGGTGTGATTACTCTTTTGCAATCTCAACTGATTACAATGCTGAGCTGGAAAAGTCCAGGTTATTTTATGTTATAAATTCTTTCATATATCTTATCTAATCCTCTCTGCCAGGCAGAACTATTTATGATGCCAGGCCATCTTTCTAAGAGCTTCTGTTGGTTTACTTGAGATCCACCTTAGTTCCATAGTTTTCTGATTGATCTTCAGATATGACATTCCTGTCAAAGCCCTGTCCTATAATGAGTATTTCCAATTTCTGATTCAATGTAACCAGCATTATTGAACTTATGCTAATAACCCTTCTGCCACAAAATAAGGATACTCCCAAATATTTTCAATTCAAGAGGGGTCAGGAAGGAAGAAAAGTTTATATTTCCATTTAAAGAAACAAACAAAAAAATTTTAACAAATTGCTGAAACTATCAACAACTCAAAAGAAAGTAAAATGTTTAAATTGGGAAAACAAAGCATAGTTTAAAAAAATCAGTAATGTTTTACTCAAAGTCATAAGATTCTATTTTGCCAGTTCAGTCTTATGTTCAAACTCTCTTCTATTGCATATGCAGTGTTGCTGTGGTCCAATCTTTCCATTTAAATACTGGAAGTTAACGTTCAATGGTGTTATTGATATTTCTTGTCCCTAGCATTAAATTGGTTGTTTTCTTGGTTGCCTTTGTTCTCTTATTTCTGTATGTGTCTTTAGTTTTCCTGGTTCAGCACTCCTTTCAGAACTTCTTGGAGAGTGGGTCTGCTACTGGCAAATTCTTTCAGGTCTTGTTTATCTGAGAAGTGCTGATACATTTTTATCTCTTTAAGGAAGAAACTAACAAACTTGAAATACAATAAAATTAATAATTCCTGAAATACAATTGGAAATTGAGTTAAAGCTTTGAAAAATTATCAAGGATTTTATAGCCTACTGAATAAGAAAGTCAGATCTCATATGGCCAATAGTGGATTAAATCCTGCCCGCATGACTTGAATAACACACTGCACCCATGTGCACACATGCCCAAAATCCTGACATGGTAGAGAAACGAAGGAAAAAGGGATTGTAGTGTGAGCGCTGATCATTGGGAGGTGTTTTGTCCCTCTGTCTCTGTCTGACTGACTCTGGCTGAGCACAGGTGCCCTCTGCCATTTGAAGAAAGAGAGAATAGAAAAGTAATCAAAGATGTAATGTGTATTACTGGGTGATACACTGTGAATCAGCACACACTCAAAAACAGAGACAGAGAGAGAGGACTTACAAAAGGGTCTAGATGTTGCTATCCACTCCCAGCTTCAGCCAGCCCAGGAGCACAGGCACACGCATGTCTAATGTACTCAGTGGGCTCTCTGGACTTGAACCTAAATTTTTCCTTGTGGGATTGCCTTACAGAATGTCATATTTTACCACAGTACCACTGAATCAGCATGTAAATGCTTTATCCTCCCTTTAACCCTTTCAGGCAGGAAATATTAGTGAAAGTCCCCCCATGCACTAGGCTCTGCTAAGTGGTGAAAAATGCAAAAACACAAGGAGGTGCCTTAATTGGCGACACAGATAATATGGTTCAGGAGAAAGACAGGAAGGTAGAGGTTATTGAAGGTTAAATACAGGGAAGAGCTGTATAAAGTGTTAACTGGCCTTAGAAAGATTCAGTCTTGAAACCAGCAGATGGCATAATGGTTACATTACTGGACTCTATAGTGGACTGTGGTTCGAGTTCCAGACCCAGTAGCTTAAAACTCACACCAGGTGTGTGTACATGCGTGCCCAAAATCCCGAAAGAAGAACAGAGGAGAAGCGATTGCAACATGGTCGTCTCCCCCTCAAGGAGCAATTTCTCTTTCTGTCTTTCTGTCTCTTTCTGTCTCTCCAGTGAGCTCACACACAAAAATCTCTCCCTTAAAAAAAAATAAAAGAACTCAGACTTACCGTATGTCTTAAAAAGACTTAAAAGAAGGGTTTAACATAAACTAAAACCTCAAAGATAAGTTTCTTAATTACACAAGTAATTATGTGGAGAAGTTAGTCTTATTTTATCTCCTCAGAAAATAGAACAAAATGGAAATGTATTCAACTGTGCAAAAAAATGAAATGGTTTTTCAGTGTGATATATTTTTATATTCAGTTGCCATAATAGTACATTGTCTTTTATTTTAGATACACTGGCCTAGCACAGCACTAAAAACAGAAGAATGTATAATGAAAGGAAAAGATGCAGTAAGTATTCATTGCAATAAATTAAACTAATCATTAATAATATTTCTGATCAACTACAAAGGACTGTGTCTCTAAACATTTATTCATGCTTAAAAAGCATATATATGATTTTATTCATGAAGAAAAAATATATATCCCTATAGCATATGTATAGTTACATAAAAGTTCATTTTAGTGCAGAGTTTACGGGAGCCAAAGGGACCACCTGAATCTTCATTTTTATTTGGTTTTATTTCATTTTAATCCACTTGGATCTATAAATATCTTGTGCTAATGTTTATTTCTTTTCTTATGTATTTAGGAGAAAAAAATATTGCAGGTAATTTTTTTTAATTCCAGCAAAAAATAATCACATTCTTCGTGAGATTCCACTTTTCTTTGATTAATAAATTGGAAGCAGATGAAACAAAGGAGTGAGAACAAAAAGTTAAAGAGGGCAAAGACAATAAACATGCATTACATATTCTGAAATGTCGTTCGGTTTTGTCCTTCTTAAAGAAACACTAGTCCATTTCTCCATAGCTTCGCCGCACTGTGTAGGTGGGAAAACGCCTTGGTGCGCTGAACCATGAGTGACAGAACTTTCACTGGTTAGGAGTAGCTGGCTGATCTGATGACACAATACACATCTTAGAGGAAGGCCTACATGCCTCCCTTTGAACGTTAATTTATCCTTTTCAGTAAGAAAAAAATAATAAAAGACTAACACACATTATACCCCCTCCTGATTCTCTGTAGCAACTGGGTCACAGCCAAGGAATGAGTCAACACATTCTTGCTGCCTTAGTCCACAGCATGATGCTGACTAATTAAACATACTCTTAGGTCATGTCAATCTAAGCACAACTGAACCAAAATGCACTCAATTGGCTCACCCCTATTTGATAGTGTGTCAGGAGAGGAAAAGCAGGTGCTTACAGCAATATGAGAATGGAATATTTTACCATGCTTGAATTATCAGATTCTACCAACTCTATGGGTCGCCTACAGAATGAAATGTTACATGAATTAGAAATGAAAGAAATATGTATACCTATTTGCTCTAGATAATCAGTTCAGTAATGCATTCCTTATTCTTGTTAAGGGCATTCTATCATCTCAATCACCTATGGCCAAGTGTTTCCTCTGTCCTTTTCATCCTAATACTGTTACATGAGAGACTTGAAAGTGTTGAAATCACAACCTGTCCTCATGAAACATGGTATTTAGTGATGATTGCATAAACTGATTTCAAAGTAATAATCTGACATTAAAAGAATTTAGTATTTACTTCAGAATTTATTTTTAATGGGCTAGCAATACCTAATCTTCCAAAGAAGATATTTATTATAATTAATTTAGCCAATTTAGTTTTTTAAAAAATTTAAACTTCAATTTTTTTTCATTTAACATACTTATGATAAAACTCAGTTAGTGAATGATGTTGTAAAGTTGTGTTGATTGTGTAGTATGTATCAGATACTATGTTTGACGAACTGAGAAATGCAAAGATATGTAAAATAAAGCTATCTGTAAGAAGCTTATAGTTGAATACCAATGTTGACAAACTAGAACTTCTGGGCCAAATGTGGCCTGTAGTGAATTTTTGTAAATAAAGTTTTATTGGAGCACAGCCACACACATCCATCTTTGTATTTCCTATGGCTCCTTTCATACTATATCTACAGAGCTGAGTAGTTGGCCCACCAAATTTAGGCTTATAATCTGATCCTTTACGAAAGATGTTTACTAATCTTTGGACTGTAATTTTAGAATAATAGTTACCTTACAGTAATCACACAATACAATGTAAATTTTTATGGGTTAGAGCATCTGCTTACGTGAAAAATACTTTTTAAAGTAATTTTTGTGAATTTGTACTCTGCAGATATAAGACTTCTTTTCCAAAACATCCAAATTCTATAATGCCCCGAAGTCTACATATGCATGCAGACAAATATAAATTGTTTCTTTACGAATATGGAAACTTTCTAATTATTGCTTTTCTGATTTTATGCTGAGTCATTGTTTATATTGTACTTTAAAACATAACGACATTGGAAATAACTTAATTACTTGGTGGAACATATTGCCATGCAAATCTTTATGCTTAAACACATTTCTGAACAGTGCTGTTTTTATTTCTCAAGCATGAACTAGAGTACATGAAAAATGATACACTCCTATCATAAAATGGAATTCCCACCTCTCTGGTAACTAAAATGTGTGGCTGTCATTCTAGTTTCTCCTTCCTTAGGTCCTTCTCTTCACCTGCTCCACATGCCCCTCACTCTGAAGGGAAACTTATGATAAACATGCAATTTCTATAGTTAGGAAAAACAAAGGTGAAAAGGGGGCTAACCGTTTGTATTATACTGACCAATTTCTTCTCTTTTTCCCTGTGTTAGAGTGAGTGTGCAAATTATGTTCGGGTTTTGCATCACTATAACAGGACACACCTTTTGGCCTGTGGTACTGGGGCTTTCGACCCACTATGTACCTTTATCAGAGTTGGGTACCATTTCGAGGTAAGACCATTTCACTTGCTGCTCTCAATAAATGTAATGCTTCTGAACAACTTGATTTTAAAAGAAAGATAGTGACATTTCTTCCTGAGAAAGACAAAAGCATGTGCAATGTGCTGATTGAGACAGAGACATGATCTCTCTGGTCTCCCAAATTCTTATCAGCTATAAAATCTCTGAACCAAGGCAACCAGTGCATAGTGGCTGAATCTCACATGGCTGACTGCATGGTTGAAGTCCTGGACTCAGCAACTTGAAAAACATTCAGGTTTATTGCATGTGTGCTCAAAATCCTGAATGGAGGGAGAAATAGAGGATAAGGGACTGCTGGCTGACCAGGTCCCATGGGAAGTACTTTCTCATTTTCTTTCTCTGTCTTTCTCATGAGTGCATCTTCCCGCTGGTAAAATTAAAATAAATTAATTAATAAAAAATAAAATCTATGAGCCAATTTATTCTCTATGAATTCATTCATTGAACAATTCTATTTAATTTTCTATTTAATTAAAAAACATATTTGATACATGGGACCAGCAGTTAGCATAATGGCTATGTCACTGGACTCTCACGTAGTCGACCATGGTTCACGTCCTGGACCCGGTGGCTTAAAACTCACGCAGGGTGTGTGTGCGTGCATGCCCAAGATCTCGAGAGGAGAATGGAGGAGAAGGTATTATGGCGTGGCCATCCCCCCTGGGGGGTGATTTCTTGCTTTCTGTCTATCTTTCTCTCTCTGTCTGTCTGGCAAGCGCACGTGCCCTATAGCAAAAATCTCTCCCCCACCAAAAAAAATTTGATATCAAACTATTGTCTATGTGCATATATATACATATATATATATATAATACACACACACACACATATATATTAATTTGGCCATCCAACTGTAATGTATATTTATATAATGTGTATTGATATGTATTTGTGTACATGTAATATGTAAATAATATATCACATATGGAATTTTATAAAAGTCATACAAAAACTTTTTGATTGTAATGACTTTTTCTCAGCCAGGTGAAGTGGGAGGGTAGGAGAGGGAAGGATTTCAGATTGACATAAGGTAAGTACTAGGTTGGAACTATGTAATTCTTCCCCTAAGACTCTGCCACTAGGTGATTATGGTGTAATGAAGGCAAATCCCAATTGAATTCTGTAGCACAGGCTCAGAAATAAGTCATATAGCCTGTTCCTCCAAGTTGGTTGAACTTCCTACTCTCCTTGATGTTACATGCATCTTGAAGCTCTTTACATCACAATTTCACCCTGAAATATATTAAACAATATTCTGATGTTAGGATCTGATATTTTTACTTTTATCTAAGATAGAAGTCAGAATTCTATATTAAGTTAGGATACAGATAAAATGAAGGTCTAAATATTCTGTAAAATCTTAATCAATAAACTTGGTTTTTATTCCCCATTTATGAAAGAGCAGCAGTGACTATAAAATATTTATTTTACTGCTAAAATTATTTTTGATATTTCTTATACTAGTTAGTACTCAGGTGCAAATATAATTAGCAATATTTGAAGTACTTAATAGCTGTCTCTAGAGAGTACCCTTGATTGGGGTACTTCAGCTGTCAACTATCTTTACAGGGAGGACTTCCGAGTACCATATTTTAAATTTTAAATATTAGCTAACCACTGCTAGTTTAGGTTAAAAGTGAGTAGAATACACAGAATATTTACTGGGTCATTTTGAAGAGATAATGTAGATAATATAATAGGAGAACTTAAAACAGAAGTGAAGAAGCAAATCAGGCAAAGTCAGAATATGTGCATGTATACAACCACACACAATGTACATCTGTGACACGTGATACTTCAGTGTCAGAATATATCCTGGAATGCAGCCCTGCCAGCAACTCTCTCAGTTCTCATTTGCCTGAAAATGTCTTTATTTCACTTTAAAAAATTATTATTTTTTTTATAAGAGGGAGCAGGAAGAGGAGGGAGAAAGAGAGATAGGCATTATTTTACTGGGTCTCACCATTGTGGTCATTTGCCTCAGCCTCCTAGCTAAGACCATACTGCACCCAGCCAATTTAGGTTGGTCTGGATCTGAGCACTGGCCGTCCACGTGTCCCCATTCGTGTGCTGCAGTATCTCACCACTTACACAGCACTGTAATTTTTTGTTCGTTTTTTAAAGGATTATTTTATTTAACTTTATTTATTTATTTATTTATTTATTTATTTATTTATTTTTGACCAGAGAAGGACAGAATGAGAGAGAGAGAGAGAGAGAGGGAGAGAGAGAGAGAAAGACTCCAGGTCTGGGACTCGAACTGCAGTCGGTCATGCGAGAGTCCAGCACCCTTAACCACCATGCCACCTGAAGGCCCTTGTTTTTTTTTAATTTTTTAAAATTCTGTTTTAATTACTTATACAAAATGAAACTAGAGTAATACACACTGGGAATTTTAATATTAGTGTCTGACATACAACTTAATGTGTACAATAATTGTCCCAATAGAATCATAGTTTTATCACATAAAAAACTATATAATCAAGTTTACTCCTTTAAAACAATGAACTAAAATAATTTATATAAAGTAGCTTGATTTACAGTTATATTGGAATCATAGTAACCACGTATTTTAGAACTGGAAGAAACTTTAGAAGAAAATGCATTGCATTATCTCTGGGTCATGTGTCTCACCTTTAATTTTAAAGAATATTTTCACTAGATATGAAAGAGTTTTATATGGTTTTATATGAGTTAATAGTTTTATTTTTCTCTCACTCTGCTTTTCAAAATGGTTTACTGTGTTCTAACCTCTTTCTAATGTAAACTAATGTTTCATTCATACTGATTTTACCCTTTACACAATTGTTTTATTTTTCAATATTTTATCTTTATCTTGCTTCTCAGTAGTTGTATACGCCCGTGTATATAAAGGTGAGATTACTATATATACTTCTTAGAACATCAAGATTATTGGATACATATATTTATGTTTTGTATGTAATGTGGTCAAGTAGGTGGGCATTTTAAAAATTTTTAATTAATTATTACTATTCTTTAGACAGAATCTCATCAAGTCATGATTCCCCCGCATCAGCCTCTTGCGTCGTTAGGTTTACAGGTGCATACCACTGCACCTAGCCTTTTTGTTAAACCCAGAATCAAACCTGGCCCTCCCATGTCATTCTTGCCTGTGGGTCACGAGTGTCTTAGCAGGACATATGAAAGCATGTCATTATCATTTTTAAAAAATATATATCTGATGGCGACGAGCAGATGGCATAATGATTGCATTGCTGGACTCCTATGTAGTTGACCACGGTTCAAGTCCCAGACCCAGCAGCTTAAAACTCAAGCCAGGTGCATGTGCATGTGTGCCCAAAATCCTGAGAGGAGAATGGAGAAGGGATTGTGGTATGGCCATCTTCCCAAGGAGGTGATTTCATGCTTTCTGTTTCTCTGTCTCTCTGATGAGTGCATGCACCCTATAGCAAAATCTCTTTTAAAAAATAATAAATAAAATGAAATATATATCTGGTTCATTCATTCATTCTTTTCCTTTAGGAATTCCAGTATGTGTATTTACTAGATCACTAGGCATTATCCCACACATCACCAGGATTCAGTTCATTTTTATTCACTATTTTCTTCTATGCTTTTCAGATTGAATAAATTCTATTGATTTTCAAATTCACCAACCATTTCTTCTCACATCTCCAGGATGTTCTTAAGCTTACCCCCTCAGTGTTCCATACAGAAATTGTATCATTCAGTTCTAGAATTTTCTTTTATAATTGTTTTTCATTTTTATCCCATTTTCTCCATACTTTCATTTGTTCTAACTGAATTTTCCTTAAGTCCTTGAACATATTTTTTACAGCTGTTTTTATGTGCTAATTCTAACATCTGAGTTATCTTAAAGTGAGTTTACCCTGACTGCTTTTTCTCTTGACTATGGATTATACACACACACACACACACACGTGTGTGTGTGTGTGTGTGTATAGGCATGTCTAATTATTTTTATTGTACTGGTCATGTCTAGTTGTTTTTATTTTTATTGTGTACCTGTCATTATATTCGTTTTCAGGAAAGTCATGATGTATTTTTCTGTTTCTATGCAAAAATGCATCATGACTTTCCCAAAATGCAATAGATTAGTTGAGAGTGGGTCAGTCTTTTGAAGATTTTTAATTTTTTGTTCTCGAAAGTAGTTAACTTGGCTGAGCTCAAACTTAAAACTTGCCACAATTGGTTAAAGCCAAGCTTTCCAGTCACTGCTTTTCACGATTAGCTTGCACATTTAGTTTAGGTGTCAGCCAAGAATTTGGGAGATAATTTATATGCAAATTTCAGGGTGCCTATGTTAGTTTCTAAAAGTTTTAAAAGTTTTTTTTTAAGTTTTTTTTTAATTTTTTTATAAGTTTTAAGTTTTCACTTTAATTTTTAAAAAGTTTTAAAAGATTTTTAAAAATTTTTTTAACCACCCATTTCCTCCATGAGAGAGAGAGATAGATACCCCAAACAGGGTCCTCAGACCACGATCCACCCCCAGTTTCAGCTGGCCTGATTTATGAGCATGTGCATATGTGCTGCCCAGGGAGGTCCCAGGATATAAACCCATGACCTTTTCCAGGTGGGTCTAGTTGTGTGCTCAGCATAGGCAGGGAGATCTCTGGACAAAAACCTAGAACCTTCTCATGTGGGTCAGCCTCACACATTGTATTTTACCTTTGTGCCACCATCCAGCCCCTGATCTGATTTTTTTTAAATCTCAGCTCTGTAACTTCCCAAACTAATAAGTCACTAGATTTCTGAGTTTTAACCATTTCTCTCCATGTGAATAAGGGTTTTCCTCAAGTGAAAACATCTGCAGTCTTTATCTATTCTTTTTCTTTGAAAAAAAAAAAAAAAGAGAGAGATAGGAATTATTTATTTAATTTTATTTATTCATTCACTTACTTTGACCAGAGAAAGATACACAGAGAGAAGGAAAGTGAGAAAGCAAGTCATCAGGTCCAAGACTTGAA